ATGGCATCTTTGTGGTGTATATAAATCCCCCACATTTTTCAAATAGAAAGGCAGTGCTCAGTCTTTATTCAAAAAGGATGGGCAGGTTGTGGTTTTCCCTGTAGTCTTATGGTCAGCACTGTCCAGTCCCTACTCAGCTGGACTCCATAATTCAGGGAGAAAGCGGATTGCACCTCTGCCTGCCCTGGTTACCCAGTGGGAATCTCCAGGGCATCTGTAGAAAGCATTTTTCTGCCCTTGAATCCCAGAGGTCTCAGGTAACTACACGGTGGGTCTTAGGACTGGTGTGTGACCAGGCTGCAGAAGCACTGAGCTAGGGCACAGGGAATAGCAGGTGCTATAGGACAGGAAGGTGGCGTAGGCTCTTCAAGTAGGCAGAGCATCTGACGTTTGTGAAACGGAGTTCTAGGCCTGAGGCCCAAACTCCTGGAGTTCTACATGGCAGGTCCAACCACTTACCCCAGCATGCCAAATAAAGAGACAGGTAATGGTGAAGGGCAGAGAAAGGAGATTTATTGTGCAACTTGTGCCAGCCACATGAAGCGGCAAGGGAGGCACTCAGCCATCTTCAACCATCTTTGCGGCACTGGCATGAGCTTTAGGCTTAAATAAACAAAGAATTAGGGGCTAGGCAGAAGGTAGCATAGAGTCCCAGTCATGGGTGTGGCCTGGTCTGTCATTTATCCCTGTCCTTGTTGGGGAAGGATTAGGAAGTGTTGTTACTTCTGTTCTCACTTGAAGGGAACAAGCTGGTCAGATAAAAAAAGTCAGTGCTGCTGTGCTGAAGAGGCTCTGCTATTTTCCTTGGGCAGTTTCCTTCATCCCTCCTCATGAAGATGTTAGCGGTAAATCTTGTCCTTCTGGATTCCAAGGTGGCTGCCAGGTGAATGGCTCAGAGCAAAGGAGCTAGATACGGAAATGGAGGCAGGGAGGCCAGGCTGTCCTGCTTTTAGTTAGTTTATGGGCCCTAGTATGGAGTCAGTGCTGTACAGCAAAAGCAGTTTAAGTACCTGTTACATTTCCACTTTATAAGTGTAAGAGCCTTTGCTAGAACATATCCTGATTTGAAGTAGTTTAAATTAAAAAGTAAACCACAGCCTTAGAAATGCAGCAAGCATGTTTTTTACCCTCAGCTGTCCCGTCATTCAGTAGGTACAGAAGAGGTTGGGGTTTCCTGTGGAATCCCAGGAGGTGCAGAGAACCCCCCACCTATTACTCTTACCAGGGCACAAGCAGTTGATTTCCTTTGCCTCTTTCACTTTAAAAAGTTCTGCAGCTACTGAGAATGTGGGTTTGTTTCACTCATGTTTTTACTTAAGGAATGTAAAATGAGAAATCAGGAAATTAGGGTTTTTTTTTTAAATTGGATGTAGTGTGAGGTTATAAGAATTGCCTTGGAGAAGTGGTGGTGTTTTTATTAACCTGTTACTAACTTAGTAGTCAGTAGAAAAGTGTTTTGTTTCATGCTGATTGCTACCACACTGTAATAAAAAAAAACAAAAAGGAATTTTGTCTTCAAAACAAACCCCAAACAGTAGGATCATTCAGGTTACCTTCCCTTCCCATCCCTCCCCTCCCCTCTCTTGGTCAGTTTTTTTTTTTTTTTTACTTCCTGTTTCCTGTTGAGGTTGTAGCTCTAAGGCTTGGCTCTGTCATTGCCCAGAATTATTACTCCCTTCAGTTTCATTAATCTTCTCATGAAATGCTTGGTGCAATGCCTTGGTATTTCACCCCCTTCTAGGTGCATGTGATTAGAATGGTGCTGCTTCCAGCCAGTTCCCTCTGCACACAGACATCTCATATACACACAGACATGTGATGCATCTAGCCTTTTTAACCTTTTTGATACAGAGAAATGTGCGTTTCTTTCAGAATCATCTAGATGAATAATTAGTATTCTTCATAGATTTCTGAAGTAGGTAATACCTTCAGAAGAAGGTTTAACTGAGGAGAGATTTGCATCTAAGAGCTGAGAATTATGGCCCAGTGTTCTCAGTTCTTTATAAATCATTTTACCTCTAAGGTTCATGCTAGCTTGGTTGTTTATTAATTAATTAGTTAATTTAGTTTTGGCAGTACAGGAGTTTGAACTCAGGACCTTGCTCTACCTCTTGCCACACCCCTAGCCCTTTTTGCTTTAGTCATTTTTCAGGTAGAGTTTATGCTCTGAGTAGACCTTGGACTACAATCCTCTTGCTTCCGCCTCCTGCAGCCTCCTTCACAGCTGGGGTGACAGGCAAGTACCACCATGCCAGTTTATTTGTTAGGGTGGGGTCTTAATAACTGTTGCCTGGGCTGGCCTCAAACCTCGATCTTCGTAGTCTCTACCTCCTGAGCAGCTGGAATTGCAGGTGTGAGCCACCAGGTAAGACTCACGCTAGCTTGATTTATGTCTCCATATAGATTAACATCTTCTTCTAGTCTTTGAATGCAAGCTTAGTGTTTTCCAGAAAAGTTATAACTAAAACAGCTGCACATTCTGTTAGCTTCTTCTCTTATTAAGAGGCAGTTGCCTGCCGTTGGATTTTGTCTCTTGCGTACTTGAAGACAGCATGTGCCTATAGTGCCTGTAGACTCAATTGTATTAGCCATTTGAGTTTTGGAAACCCTGTCATGGTGCTGGGGACTGGAGGTGTGGCTCAAGTGGTAGAACACCTGCCTTGCAAGCACAAAGCCCTGAGTTCAAACCCCAGTCCCCCCCTCCAAAAAAATCTGAGCCAAGCATGGTGGTATACACCTGTAATTCCAGCACTCAGGAGGTTGAGGCAGGAGGATTGAAAGTTCAAGGCCAGTCTGGGCTACATAGCAAAACCCTGTTTCAAATAAGATAGAGATAGATTAGATGGATGGATGGATGGATGGATGCAGTAAAATGATCAGAGTTGATTCTACAGCTCTAGGGTGCAAAGTGAATTTGAACAGTTTTAATTTTCATAGAATCAGCATGAATCCTAAAGGGAGTGGTGAAAGGGACTTTAATAGGGTGTACAATAGAGTGTATGATGAGAAGATCACAACCCTGACCACAGTTCTGTCCTCTACCAGCCAGGCTCCTGGTGTGAGACAAGCTTGCAGAACTTCCATTCAGTCATCGGGAGGGTGAGGTGAGGTGAGCACAGCACCCTTCCATGCCAGCCATAGACCCCAGCAAGAAGGCATCTGCTCTTACACTCTTCAGATACCACTAAAATGACAGGGAAGCAATATGTGTATCAGGAAAACAGGAAAGGAGACTCCAATAAAATATTTTGGAAGTTGGAAAGCAAGTGAACCAGCAAAAAAGGATTTAACAGACCCATTAGAACTGACACAACAGTAGGGGGAACCTAACCTGCCCAGTGTGTGCCAAGTCCCCCAGGAGCTTGGGAATGGCTAATCAGGGTGGAAAAAGTACAAGGCCTATCTGAAAAACAAAGTAGTAAAGGGCTGGGGGTGTGGCTCAAGTGATGGAGCTAGGGCCTGAGTTCAGTCTCCTGAGCTGCAAAACAGCAACAGAAAACACAGCCAAATACCCAGAACCCTCTCTTCTCGTTTGTTGAAGGACTGAAGACCTCCAGAGATGGAAAACAGGGGTCCTTCAACTTGGGATTTGAAAAGATGGGATTAACTATAGCCCAGCCCCTTTCTCCTTCTCAGTGCCTGACGCTTAGAGCCAGGACTGTGCTGTTCTGGCAGGGGATTGGAATAAGTTTCCCTGGGGACTCTGACCAGACCCAGAGGAAAGACTTAAAGACAGTGACAGTGGAGGTCTCTGAACAGAACACCTTGTCCAAGCCTTTTCAGTTATCTTTTTAAATGGGTCACTGTGCTGGAGATGGAAACAAGGGAGGATCATCACCAAGGTAATGCCCTCCTCCCCAGACATCCCACAAGTGACTTGGAAGGCCACCCAAAACAGTAGCCCAGGAGGGAGCTTTCCTGAACAACGATGAAGTTCTTCACACTTCCAGAAAGAAATTATGGGCTGCCTACCAAGACTCATCCAGATGGGAATAGCTTCAGTCTTAGGTGCCACAGTGCTGTGTAGAAGGCAGTGAGCACATCTGCAGAGCTGTAGAGGGAAGTTATTCTAAGCACATTATGAATCACAGAACAAGAACTACAGACATCCGAGGTTTCATATCATGTACTTCCTATTCCCCTTCTTAGGAAGCTATTTAGAGCTTGTGCTGCACGAACAAAAGGAGAAATTGAACTTAGGAAAAGCGAGGGGAGAGGATCCCCAGGACACTGGGGAGGGTCCAAGGGCAGCATTTGTGCAGCAGACATGCAGGAGAGGCCGAAAGTGCCACCCCTTCTCTGGATGTTGCAGATACAGCTGTGCAGATGCTGTGGAAAGAGATGTAGCAGGGAAGGGTGTAGGCGTCATTCCATACAAGACTGAGCAAACAGGCAAGGGAGGCGCTCCAAGGAAAAACCATGCATAGCTTTCCATGTTTCTCCCCAAGACTAGTGTTAATAGCATCATCGTCATAGATGCTGAAGATGTCCCTGAGCCCAGTTATGAGGCTGGGGAATGGGAAGGGGTAGGAGGGGACAGGCATGGGGTTTGGGAGAAGGAAGGGAAGCAGTCTGCCCATGTCCTACAGTGGGAAGTGGACAGAGAACACTAAACAGAAACATGAGATCAATTGTACAGGCTGACAGAGGTGAACACTCTGTAAATGCTAAAGCAGTTGGTCAGAAGAGGACAGAAGAGTTGCTTTTTGGAATAAAAAGTGAGAGGAGGGGACGGTGCTGTTTAAGTTCACTTTAATTACAGTTGGCTATAAACTGAGTGCATCAAAGCCCATAAAACCAGTAAAAGTGGAATAGGACGCTGGTCACAGCAGAATCCTCTGGTTACCTTCTTATCCATAGGTTCATATTTTTAGCTTCAGGCAGAGCCATCCAGTGCCTGCTCCCACCATGCAGGCATGGGAGGAAAGTGGTCTGGTGGGGGGCTAGTGGGAACTGAGGGCACTTACCAGACTGAGCTTTCTGTCCCCTTACCTCCCTAGATTACCCTCTTGACTTGAACCACAACGAAACCTTCCCCCCAACTACGACATTTCTTCCTGAAGACTTCACCTACTTCGCACACCTTCCCTGCCCGGAGAGGCTCCCTTCCATGAGTGAGTAGACTCTGGTGCACCCCCCTGCTTCAGAATGGGTTTGTCTCTTTGATTAAAATAAAGGTGGCCAGGTGTGATGGCTCACACCCATAATATTAATCCTAGCTACTTGAGAGGTGGAGATGAGGAAGGTTACAGTTTGGGGTCAGCCCAGGCAAAAAGTGCACAAGACCCCATCTCAGCCATCAAAAAGCTGGGTATAGTAGTGTGTGCTTGTCATCCCAGTTCTGTGGGAAGTGAAAATAGGAGGATCGAGGTCCAAACCAACCCAGGCATAAATGTGCGACCCTATTTGAAAAAGAATGGAAGCAAAAAAGATAGGAGGCGTAGCTCAAGTGATAGAGCACCAGCCCAGCAAGCACAAGCCCAGTACCCCAGTTTCACCCCCAAAAATAAAATTAATAAATGAGAGAGCATGTCCAATGTGGAAAGTAGAGAAGCTCCCTTCTGCTGGAAGCAGGATCTGCTCATCTTCAGCCAAGCCTGCTTCAGGGTTGCCTGCAACTCCTGGATGCTGAGTCCACCTCTGGCTCTTTGTTTGCACGGCCTCTGCTTTGTAACTTGGGATTTTTTTTTTTTTTTTTTTTTTTATTCACCTGAATAGTCAGGGAACTTTCACCTATTTTATTTAGGTTTTCATTTTTTCAAATTCCAACCAGAAAAAGCTAAATACAATTGGAAACCGGTAAGCACTAGTTTTACTCCAAAGGAGTAGGATCATTCAGATTTACTCCAATAAAAGTATGCAACCCTTAAGCAAAGCTTTTCTTCATTTAAAAGAAAAAAAAAAAAACGAAACTATACAATAGTCTTTCCGTATGTTCATTGCACAAAATGAGTTCTGCTTTTAGAACCTTGACACTCGGGCTATTTTTACAATTTAAAATTAACTTGGGATCTTTTAAGATGTCCTGGAGAAGTGCAGGCCTCAGGCTTTGTCTTTTTAGTGTAAATCACCACTGATTACACCTGCTTTGAAATGACAGAAGTTTGTTTCTTTAAAACAGAAACCAAAATGCTGGCTCAAAAAAAAAAATCTGAGATCATACCTCTTCCCTTTCATTTTTCTTTGATTGTCTTGGAATTTTACGTGTAATTAACATTGATCATAAACGCATACCTTTTTTGTACTTTTGGGTTTCTTAGTTCTTTATTGTTTGTTCTCATCCTTTTTTTTTTTTTGGTACTGGGGTTTGAACTTAGGGCCTTGTGCTTGCTAGGCAGGCACTGTACCATTTGAGCCATGTCTCAGGCCCTCTTTATTGTTTTAAGACAAAAGGAAAATCTTAAGTTTGCAGAGTTGACTTTTATGCCCAAATGTGTGAAGATAGAGGAAGTTAACAACAGACATAGGTGGTATTCGAACATGTGTCCATCCCTGCGTGGATAAGCCTGGTCTACACCGTGCAGGTGGTGTTGGAAGCCTTGCTGTTTCATTTGCATGTCTCACCACGTGTCTGTAGATCTTCTCTTCAAAATCTACCTTGGTCTCATTCACACAGAAACTTAGTTTGGGAAGTCAAATCATCCTTTTGTCAACATTTATTGTCATGGTTCTGCTTCTTGGTTCTGAGACTGGATCTGATCATTCAGAGCCACCTGGTGATAGGTCTTGCTTGAGATACGAGCTGCTGTGTGAGTTTGTTGCTTTTCCCCTCCTCCTTTGAGAAGTTCAGCTGCTGTTACAAAGTCTTCACTTCTTTCTGCACCTTTGGCAGCAGTGTGTCTCTGAGGTCTTAATCCTGTATTGTGCTGCTTTACCAGATGGTAACAATGCACTGACCAACAGCGAGATGGAAAGTATAGGGAGGGCTCCTGTCCCTGGTAAAAACTAAGGTCAGTGCTGAGGGAGCATTGACCTTCTCCAGAGAGCACGGCCCTGGACAAAGGGAACTGGTCATTTTCTGGGCTCTTATTGCTTTTCTCTCTCTGTTCAGAGGGCCCAATAGACATAAACATGAGTGAAATTGGGATGGACGACATTCATGAACTCTTCTCCAGAGACCCCACCATCCGGCTGGGAGGTCACTGGAGGCCTTCTGACTGCATGCCTCGATGGAAGGTGGGTGTGGCAGACTCTGACGTTGTCTAATTTGTGCTCTCTCTCCCACACAAAGTGTGTGTCGGATAGAAACGTGTTAGAGATAGCTTTCCCCAAAACTCTGTAGCCACAGAAATTTGATCACTCTGATGATGGTGCAGAATACTTCCATCTCTTAGCAGGAGTGTTGGCTGCTCTGACATTTTGCCAAAGTCACCTCCGCAGTCAGAGCTTCATGCCAGGTCTCCATGGTTACTGTAAGATCAGTGGAATTGAATGCAGAGCTGTCCAGATAGAAGTGTGGCTCAAGTGGTAGAGCACCTGCACAGCAAGCACAAGGCCCTGAGTTCAAACCCAGTACTGCAAAAAAAAAAAAAAAAAAAAAGAGAGGGAGAGCTGTCCGTCTAGCAGCTGACCCCAAGTTTTGTTCAGCATTGCTCTGCATGATCTCAGTAGTGCCACACCAGCTTGTAACTACTCTTCACTAAGTGTTCATTAAAGTGCCTATCCTGTGCCTGCCCTGTGAGGTGCTGATCAATGTTTCCACCCCCCAATAGACTGTAAGCTCAGTTTAATGACAAGTACCTCACATGCTCTGCAGAGAGACAGTGTAGCTCTATATGTGAGGGTATAACATGCAACATGCAGTCAGTTAAAGGCTTAATTCAACTGTGCATTTGGATGTCTATAAATGTATTTGTGTACGGGATCCCACTGTGGCTTATATGCTTTCCTAGGGGTTGTGGCCTGGAAAGGATTCATTAGGCTGCTCAATGAATACATACACTATAGCCATGGTGTGTGTACGAAGACCCATTTAGTTCCATGGCGGTGATGCAGCATAGGTCTGCATCAGAGAACATGGAAGGCAAAACAACCAGCTCTCACAACTCCCCAAGGGTTGCTCACCCATTCTGCAGTGGTGTCCAGCTATGCAGAGGTTCAGGGGACTAACTTGATGGCTTCTTTTGTTGTGATCCTACAGGTGGCAATTCTCATCCCCTTCCGGAACCGCCACGAACACCTCCCAGTCTTGCTCAGACACCTGATCCCCATGCTTCAGCGCCAGCGACTGCAATTTGCATTTTATGTGGTTGAGCAAGTGAGTGATCCTTGTTTTCCTTCTTTCTCCTTTGAATCCTCCATCCATAGTGTAACTGAGTTCCTGATGTACCTTCAGAATAAAACGACAAAACAATGCGTGTAAACCCTCTCTTCTTACCAGATTTGGTTTATGAAATAGAGGTTACAGATTGGTTGATAATGCTGAAGAAAATGCCTGGCAAATATCAGTAGGGTGGTGATGAGAACCAGAGGTGACAATGCTCCCCCTCCCATTTCCCTTTTCATCCTGTTCTGTGGGGAAAGTTCTGCATCAGCAGCCTTGGGAGAAAGGAACTTGGTTTGCCACCAGGTTCTTGGTTTTGTTTTTTTGATGCTGATGGGGTTTGAATTCAGGGCTTCACACTTGCTAGGCAGGCACTCGACCACTTGAGCCATACCTCTAGTCCTTCCACCAGTTTTATTTCTGAAGAAATCAAGACCAAAGCTTAGTTGACTTCTGGGTGACAGTGTGTCATTGATGAGTGGTGCTAGACCCACTCACAAGAGCCCAGTGATCTTTTCTAGTTGGTCTTAATAAGCTTTTTTAGGCATGCAAGGCATCAAAGATTTTGCTTGAAGTATCCTTTAAGAAGAGTTCTACTTCTCTTAGGTTGGCACTCAACCCTTTAATCGAGCAATGCTTTTCAATGTTGGTTTCCAAGAAGCAATGAAGGACTTGGAGTGGGACTGTCTGATTTTTCATGATGTGGATCATATACCAGAAAGTGATCGCAACTATTATGGATGTGGACAGATGCCCAGGCACTTTGCAACTAAATTGGATAAGTACATGTATCTGTGAGTGTCGTTTCCTCCTTAACTAAAGAGGTTCAGTGTAAAAGAATGAGAGTCGAAAAAAGATGAAATGCCACTAGCTACAGCCCAAATGTCCATCAGCTGATGAAAGGACGAACAAAATGTGGTCTCTACAGTAGAATTCCGTTCAGCGGTGTGGTGGGATGGCGGATTGACAGACACTGCAGCAGGGGTGCATCTGAAAGTATCGTGCCATGAAAGGAGGCAGGCATAAAGACCACTCATTGTACACTTCCACGTGCTGTGCACAGCACAGAACAGCAGATCTGCTGGAGAGGCAGAGACATTAGTGGTTGCCAGGGTTGCAGTTTGAGAGGGGAAGATGGCTGGGGGTGGGATGGTCATTAGCCACAAGGCTTTTGGGGGTGGGGGCAATGAAATTTACTAGCGATGTTTGTGGTTATATTGCACAACTCAGTGAATAGACTGAAAGCCATGGAGTTACACACTTGAAATGAGTGAATGGTAGGGTATATCAGTTATATCCCAGTTAAAGTTGTTAATTAGGAGTTGCAGATGTAGCTCAGTGATAAAGTGCTTGCCTGGCACGTGTCAGGCCCTGGGCACCATCCCCAACAGTGGGGAAAAAATCAGAAAAAAATTCAGTTAACTCCTTTGGTGAGAGCAAATTTGGATGGTTCTGGGCAGTAGCACAGAGAGCATTTTCGCAGCTGCTGTATTGAGTTGGTGGGTTTTAGAGAAAGTTACCATTAGCACAGGGACCAAGACTCACTCTCTTTCCAGGCTTCCTTATACGGAGTTCTTTGGTGGAGTGAGTGGCCTAACAGTGGAACAGTTTCGGAAAATCAACGGCTTTCCTAATGCTTTCTGGGGCTGGGGTGGAGAAGATGACGACCTCTGGAACAGGTACCACCCCTGTCATGTCATACAGAAATGCTGCCCGTGCAGCAGACCAGGCTGCTCTGGGCAGATGATGAAGCCTGGCGTGGAGTCTAAGTGTCCCAGTGGCCACATTTTAGAAGTAACCAAAGGGTGGAATTGAGCTTCATGGTATATTAACAGTATATTCCCCACACGGTGTGTCAGATGTGTCAGTGCTGACCTACATAAAGTACTTCGGAGCTCTTTGACCTTGAAGCTGAGTCTGTGGAATCTGCCGGGGGCTTGATCTGTTAAGTTGCCTGCTGTTAGCTATGGCACTTGGTAGAGCTCTCCCGACTAGAGTTTAGTACTTTGCCTTTATGGTAGAGACTAGAATATTTGCAGTCTGAGAAATTATTTGTATTTATTTTTTAAATTATCCTGTTATAGAGGCGGTATGGCAGCACATGTCTGCAATACCAATACTTGGGAGACAAAAGCAGGAGGATTGAGAGTTTAAGGCAAGCCTGTGCAAACATAGTGAGGCCCTGGCTCAAAAAAAAATTATAACATTAAAAACAAACAGAAAACCCTGCTCTTACCATCCTAAAAAAACAAACAAAAAAAAAACCTAAAAAAATCCTACATCTTACCAAAGCAGCTGTTTTCATCTTATTTTTTGCCCTGCAAAAATAAACTTAAATGACAGTTTAACAGTTTGTTTTCCTTACAATAAAGAGTATGCTCAATGTAAAATACAAGTGAATATTTAAAAAAAAGTTACCCACAATCTGAACCCCTAGAGACAGCATCTGTTTCCATTTCACTGAGTTTATCTTTAAAAATTGCTGAGTGGACAGTGATCTGCAATGTCTGTCAGCAGCAGTGTAAATGTCAGGGTTCTGAGGACCAAGGGCGAAGGCACTCGTAGCCCCTTCAAGGTGTGATAACGCGGTAAGCTCTTGGCAGACATTATGCTTGCGTTACGTCCACATTCCATCCTCAGGTTGTCAGTGGCTCCATTTAGCTCTGCTGTGGATGTATGGTTGTGCAGTCTTTTCACTTTCCCACTAACACAGTGGATGTTCTCTTGCTTGCTGCTTACTCATACTTAGGAAAGCTTTCTAGACATGAATGTGACCAGGATATAGTCATTTTAAGGCTCTTAATCTATAATATAACAAAGTCCACCCCCTCCCCAAGGTGACACCTGAACTCTAAGTGTCCACATCATGGAGACCATCCCAAACCCAGGGTGGTTGCTCATGACATCATATCCGTCTCAGAGCTCATTCTCTTGGTCTTGAACAGAGTACAGAATGCAGGCTATTCTGTGAGCCGGCCAGAAGGGGACACAGGGAAATACAAGTCCATTCCTCACCACCATCGAGGGGAGGTCCAGTTCCTTGGAAGGTTGGTGTCATTTATTTATTTATTCCTCTTTAAAAAGACAGCTTTGCATTGTCAGGTGGCATCATGGTGCACTTCGCCTCCATTGGCACACTCCACCAGACCTGTTCACTTGCACTGTTTTGTTTATGTTTTGTTGAGATAGTCTTCTCACTATGCAGCCCAGGCTGGCCGGGAACTGGAGATCCTCCTCCTCAGCATCCTGAGTGCTATGATTATAGTCAGCGCTACAGCACCCGGCCCTGGAACTTTTCTGACTCGGGTCACAGGTGCAGCACAGACCTGATTAACTAACTGTAAGGTGGACATTTGGGGTGGCAGCAGACCAGTGGTGAGATTTGGACCATCAGATCTCACAGCATTGCTTGCACTAAGTCAACTGTTGCCATCTCCTCTGTGGGAATTAGAGAAGGTCACCCTCTTCATGGCCCAGGTTCCTGCAGTGGTGGCCAGTTTTGCGTCTTTTCTCTGCTCCAGTTGCAGACTGTTTTGGGTCTTTGCAGACTGTGGGAGGAGTGTTCCCTAGACGACCAGTTCTAATCTCTAGCCTCTCGCTCCATTTGAGCAAACTGTGCCCTTTGTCATCTGATCTGTTTGTGATCTTACTTGGGCTTCCCCACTCTGTGATTTTGGGCAATTCACTTAGCATGGCCTAACCTTGGTCTCCTTATTTCCCTGAGCAAACTAGTAAGGAAAGCAGGCTGCAGGATGGGTTTAGAAAGCCTCCCACTGTGCCTTCTCTGTAAAGGCTGGGCCTTGCTGTGAGTCCATCTATTCTCGGCTTCCACAGGTACGCTCTGCTGAGGAAGTCAAAGGAGCGGCAGGTGCTGGATGGCCTCAACAACCTGAACTACTTTGCAAACATCACGTACGACGCCTTGTATAAGAACATAACTGTCAACTTGACACCCGAGCTGGCTCAGGTGAGTGAGTACTGAGATGGGGGGGGAGGCGCATTTGCTTGCCCACCGCCACCACAGAGGCCGTCCGATGAGCCATCTTGGATTGGCACAGGACAAGAACAGAAATACAGAGTCTAATGAAGGACCACAGGGTTCAAGGAAAACTGTGACGGAGCACACGCACAAACGCCTTCACTGTAGGACCTGCTGGAGCAGAGGGTCTGCCCAAGATGCCCTTCTTCAGCACTGGCTTTGTTTCCACAAGACAGACATCTGTCCTGCTGCTCTCCCCCCATCCTCCACCCAGTGTCCTGTCTCAGCCACAATCTCCAGAACCCAGGACGAGCAATGAGCTGCCAGGGCCTACCATGGAACCCGCCCCAGCAGACAGCCTTTGGAGCCCAGAGGCGACCCCATCCTGGCAGTGGCCTGTCGGGAAGCCAGTGGACGCCACATCATTCTATCGTTCTGTATCTGCATCTCTGGTGTTCTCTTTGGTTTCTTCTTTTTAAAAATGTCCTGCTTTGGGTGGGGAGTAAGGGTGGAGGGAAGGGACTTGGGGACGATAAATAGACATAACAATCACTTCTTGAAGAAGTATAATTGTAAATAAGCCATGTAAAATGCCTTTTTAAAATTTAATTTTATAGCTGGCTTCAATTCAAAGCAAGGATTTATACATTAGATCATATTTTTGGTTGGCAAATGCAAGAACCCAGTTAAAATGCAATTGAAAAATACCATCTCCCACGTGGGTGTCACCTTGGAAGAGAGTGGATACATGAACAGAATAATACAGCATCTCTCACTGGTGGCTGACCTCTATTCCCTGCCCTCCCCCTCTTCCACAAGTCTTGCTTCTTCCACAAACCATTTGCTGTGGATTCTCTCCTCCTTGTGGCCACAACACTCCTGTCCCTGTCCTCTGCTAAACAGGAGGCTGCTGTATGGAGCATGCTTCTGCATCTCTTAAAGCAGACCCTCAAAACGGTGTGGGGTACACGCCTGGAATCCAAGCGCATGGGAAGCAGAGGCAGGAATATTGGGAGTTTGAGGCCAGCTGGGGTGTACAGCGAGACCGTCTCAAAATATAAAGCAGACCAACCCCTTTGGGTCTCACTGCGCACACACCTGGCCTTCTGGACTTCAGGTTTTGTCCTTCTACCACGATGGGGGAGAGCGGGCTTTGGGTGGCATTTTGTCCCTTTCCTTCCCATTTGGAGCTGGGCCTGAATGACCAGTGGCTTCACTGGTTCCTCTGCTTCCCATTTGGGCTCTGGAAGATTCTTTGAATTACTCTTTTCTGTGCAACAGAACTAATTAGCAATTGACTGGGAAGAATTCCACTATGGAGCAGGTAACACTGCTGTGACTGCTTGGGTCTAGGTGAGACCAAATCACAGCTTTGAAATTTAGACTGGCAAAGCCCCACAGGTTTTCTGAAGTCAGATTCTAAATTGTGTTTGACCTGTGCCTGTCCCTGAGCTGAAACCCTCAGTTCATTCTCTGTCCACTCCTGGAAGATGCTAGTTAGGTCTTCCCCTCTCCACAAACAAAGCGTGGTTACACACTGTGACTGGGAACTGTCTGAATAGGACTTCATATTTTTTTTAATTGCCTTGTTTGCCTCAACTTCCTTGATTTTCATGGTTTACATGAGTGTGTAGGGCATGGGGGGTGGGCTTTTCTGTTGCATGTGTTGGTTCTATGGACATATGATCCCCCAAACTGTGGGAGTGATTGGCCAGGCCTTGTTTTTTTGCTGCATTTTTGTTCTTTTGAAGACTAGCGTGGTAGTTAGAAAATAATTACATTTCGAAGCTCTTATCAGCTCATATGAGAGAGCAGGTGCTGCCCTTGAAGACGCTGGTAAGTTGTATCTCATGTTAGAAGAGCTTGAAGCAGTTCATGCTTTAAGACACCTTCGCCAGGGAACATGACACAAGAATTCGTTTTTCCTTTGTCTTACGGTGCATATAGCAATAAAGACTTATTTCTCCCTGCCCTTCCTTTGTGCCAGCCTTGACCCTTCCACCGCCCTTCCCATTCTCCTCTCTTTGGCCACTGAAGGCTGTGAGCTTTCAATGTGAGGGAGCCATGGTGTCATTTGGAAGGGTCTGCCAGGCTGGTGCTCAGCGCTAAGCTGTGATCCCAGTCAAAGCTCCACATCAGTACGGTGTCACTGAGTACTCTGTTGGCCAGAGGCTCATACTTGAAGGTCTTTCTTGCTCACAGTAGGGCTGCTCTATTATTCTCTTGCAGTTGTGTCTTAAGTTTGTCTTCTTAATGTGGAATCCCTTAATGGGCACTGTGATCCCTTATCCACCAAGTTCAATATTTGTATGGGAAATGTAATCATTAAAAATGTACAGCCAGACATGTGCTGTTAACAGCATGAAATTCTCATGTTGAAAAAAAAAAGAATCAAATGTGACTTTGTGCATATTTGAGCAGCTGAAATTCTTCAAGGCTTCCAGTAGGCCAGCCCTTAAATCAGTCATCTTTGATTGCTGTGTGCAGCTCATACTGGGTGGTTTTTTGGGGGGTGGGGGTGGGTTTGGGGCGGGCGTTATTTGCAAAAATCCTCATTTTGATGTGACAGGAGCTCTCATCAGAATTCCTCTACCACAGAGAGTAGCTGAGTAGCCACACATACTGTTTTATGTCCACTTACCCTGGACCATGGCATTAAACGTCCTAGCTTCTTTCCATCACTATGCTTTCTGAGCTTGCTCTTATGTTTTAAGAGGTGCCAGGGGTACATTTTTGCACTGAATTCTAAGGATGTTTTAAAAACACTTTTCACAAAAATAGTTCTTTGTCATTACATTATTTACTCATGTGTTTGTACATTTTTGTATGTTAATTTATGAATGATTTTTTTCAGTAAAAAATACACATTCGAGAACCAAACCTTGGTGGTCGTCTCTTTGTCCGGGACAGGTGGTTCCTTGGGGCCTTGCCTTTCACAGGGAAGTGTTGTCCCCGCAGCACGGGGACATGTGAGTGAGATGACAGAGCTAGCAGACCCCCTCGTGCAGCCCATGGTAGGACCCCACACTTGTGTCTCCTTTCCAGTTACTTGTCTGCATTACTGGTGAAGTGGAAGCACAGTGATAGGCGATAGAGTCTGTTTCCAGAAGATTCTCAGAGGCCAGTCCAGAGTTTGCTCTCTGCTAATTCTGCTCAGAAATTATAATCATAGATTACGTTTAGCACCTCCAGTATTTCTTGGTGTAGTTCTGTGTCTGGGTCCTGGGGACATACTGATGTGCAAAACAAGGATTGGTGGGGCTGGTGGAGTGACTCAAGTGGTAGAGCACCTGCCCAGCAAGTGTGAGGCCCTGAGTTCAAACCCCAGTGCTGCCACAAAAAAACAAAAAAACGGGTGACCTCAGAAACTTGCTGTTCAGTCAGGAGTGAGGGTGCGTGCAGGAGGTGCTCGGGAGTGGCTGCTGTGATGGGAGGGTTCTCCCTGCCGTGAGGGAGCCCGTGGGGACAGTACAGTGCAGGGGCAGAGGGGAAGGACTGACTGAGAGGCCCAGCAGCACCCTGGGACTGTACTGGCTTGGAAGGTAGGGAGCCCACCAAAGCTGGTGGCTTCCCCACTCGGCTGGTGGGGAAGATCAACTGGCAGGGAAGATTGTGAGGTCAGGCAGGTGGTGGTGAGTTCCATGGTGTGGAGATAACCAAGCCACAGCAGCTATCGACTGTGGGCCCCGGGAAGATCACGGAAGGAACTATGTGTCCTGCACAGGTGCAGGGTCAGTGCGGGTCCCCGTGTGGGGAGGACCTGAGAACACCAAGAAGAAGGTAAAGTGGTGCCCTCTAAGAAGAGGAAGAGTGGCAAGAAAGGAGGTCTGGAGGTCAGGGGAAGTCAGGAGGGAGTGGTCAGCAGTGTTGAATGTGAACACTGCTGTGCCGGAGGAAAGATGGAAAATAATGAATTAGCCACGGGGAAGGGGTTGGTAATGTGGAAGAGCATTTGGGTGCCTGGTGGGCGGAGCCATGGTGGCCAACATGAGGAAATGGAGCAGTAGGGGGAGGGGCCTCTTGAATTTCAGGGGCTTGGCGATGGTGTAGGCTCTGACTTTCCAGGAGCAGGTTGCATGCTTTTGAATCCTAAGGAAGTAGCCACCAAAGAAGACAGCAGGCACATGTACCCAAGGGTCAATGGCCGTGCAGAAATTTGCCTGAATGTGAGGCGGCGGGGTGATTTAACAAAAACAGAAGCCCAGGCAAGGTGGCTTCCTGCCACCTCCCTGGCAAGCACTGTCCAGTCAGTCTCGAAACAGAATTTGGCAGAATGGATTCCTGCTATGACTGCTTCCTTTTTACTTCCAAGATTGGCTTCATCTGGGGGACACCAGGTACTAAAAATAGTAGTTTCCATTTGCTGAGTGTACAGACGATTTGCAGGGCACATGAAGGTGGCCATGGCCCCATGAGTTAGGTCAGGGCCTCTCCTTTCATACTTGGCCTCCAGCGCTGAGGTCTGCGTGGGGGTGGAAGGTGGGGGACTTCCTGGTACCTGGTGAAAAGCATTTTGTAGGATGTTTAGTGGCACCCCTGACCTCTACCCCCTCGGTGTCAACTGACAGTGTCACCAGATACTGTCAAATAATTCCCAGGGAGCAACAGGAGCAGCTGCTGTGGGGAAATGGAAGCCACAGAGAGCTGAGGTCACATAGTAAGCAGTGTCACTACAGGAGGAAACTGTCTTAACCCCTGTTCAACTTCTGACCTAGCTTCTTTGCATATATGCTTTTGTTCACAGTTTAAAGTTGTCTTTATTACAAAAGCAATTAAATGAGTCCTTGTTAGCTGGAAAAATATTTTAAGTTCCTTCTCCCCTTTAATTCAGCACTTTGATGAATTTACACGGATGTGTGGGGAGATAGACATTTATTGTTTTTAAAGGTCTGCAGACACTTCTGGTGCACTATCTTCATAGTTTGGAGACCTCTTTCCATGCTGAGGCACTTTCAAATCTCAGATGCCACTTCCCAGGAGGACCCTTGCCTGTGCTCATAGACTTAAAATGCCACCTCTCCCCTCTCTCCTTAGCCTGCTTTATTTTGTTTCCCAAGGTTTGCCACTCCATCACTTTATGTTTGTTTTGTTCCTTATTCCTTTACAGGTGGCCCCTCAAAAGTGTAATCCCCATGAAGATGGAGAAAGTTTTGTTCTCTCTGTTCCAGCCCAGTGCCAAGAACTAGGCCTGGTCCATAGTAAGTGCTCAAAAAATATCTGTTCAGCGATTGACTGCATGTCTTTCTTCCTTTGATGACTGGTTGTAGTAATCCACTGTATTTGGTGTTCAGTTGTGGAGTTCACCATCACTGTGTACCACAGTGAACACAGGTGCACACAAATCCATAAGCACCTAAATGACGAGACCCCTGTGAGAGTTCAAGAAACACAGTTGCTAGAACAAAGGGTCCACATATTGGAAACAGCGGGAGGGTGTGGAATTCGCCCTCTACCATCTATGAACGACTGTGCCATTGTAGCTCTAATCCACCAGAATTGACTTGGTGTATGAAGTGGGCACGTGAGGAACCTAAATTTATTTTTTTCTGAACGGATTGCTAATGAGCTAGGATTTATTCAGTAATCCCTCCTCCATTTGTTTTGACAAACCATGTCTTAATTTTTTTTTTTTTTCAGTACTGGGGCTTGAAGGGGCTTGAACTCGGGTTATCACACTTGCTAGACAGGCACGCTCCACCAGCCCTTTTTTTGTGATGATTTTTTTTCAAGATGAGTCTCACGAACTATTTACCTAGGCTGGTTTTCAAGCCATTCTCCTGATCTCTGCCTCCTGAGCCACCAGTGCCAGGCCATGTCTCAAATTCTGCCGCAAATTTAGTTTTGCTACACTGAGCTATCTGTTTCATTGTGCTTTAGTTCCTGTTAGTACTTCCCTGTGGTGTGTTTTCATGTTGTTATCTTAGTTGGTTTTCTACAGCTATAACAATACCCAAGACTGGGAAATTTGTAAGGAACAGAAATTTATTTGGTTCATGGTTCTGGAGGCTGGAAAGTCCCATGGTGCCAGTGTCTGATGAAGACCTTTGTGCTGTGCCATACATGGTGGAAGGTGGGAGGGAAAGAGAGGGTGAGAATGAGCAAGAGGGAGCTGACTTTGTTTTGATAGCAGCCCACACTTGTCGAATGCACTGGTGTGTGCCTGTAGTCCCAGCTACTTGGGAGGCTGAGGTAGAAGGATGCTTGAGCTCAGGAGTTCAAGGCCATCCTGGAGCCTTGTGATAACATTCACCCATTCCATGAGGGCAGAGCTCATATCACTCACCTCACACACCCACATCACAATTTAACTTTGCAACACGTGAACTTCGGGGGATACATAAACCATAACGTGTTCTGTGACCTTTCTAAGCTTTTATAAATGGGTAGTATACATACAATCCAGAGCCTAGTCGTACAGTGCCATCACTGTTTTCAAATTTTGTGGTTTCTCATTCCAGTGAGATTTAAATTTACTTTGCCAAGTCCTATCAAAAATCTATTTAGAGGCTTGGCAGAGTGGCTCCAGTGATGGAGCGCCTGCTTAGCAAGCATGAGGCCCTGAGTTCAAATCCCAGATCCACCAAAAAAAATCTATTTAAGACTGGCTTCGAACCTCGATCCTCCTGACGGCTACCTCTTGAGTAGACAGGATTACAGACGTGAGCCACTGGTGCCCGGCGAGGCTGGCACTTCTTGCGTGGGGTGGTGGGCCAGTTGGCCTGGTGGGTTAAAACTGCTGTCCTCGGCATGGGCGCTTCCCCTCCCTCCCTCTGCAGGCCCATCTCTCCATCCTGTCTTCCTCCCTTGTAGCCTGTCTTCACACCTCCATTTCCCACCGGGTGTCATTGTGTCCTCCTGAGGACAGGAGTTTGGGTGTCTTTCCATCCAGAGCAGCAGAGGGGGCTAAAAGTTCTGGCAAGTGAACTGGTAAAGGAACAAAATGTTCCTGCCTGATTTCTCGGCATTTCACCTTGACCTTAGGAAGATAGAGAGCGCCCTGGCCTGATACAACTTCTGTCTGACTGCTGGCGGATGTGGTTCCAGACAAGGAAAGGGCCTCTGTGGCCACTGAGTCTGGCTGGCACGGTGGAACCCATATGTTTCTTGGCTCCTGTTCTATATGGAATCCAGAGTGGGAGATGAATCCCCCACTCCCACCTCCTCCTTGCCCCAGGCTCCCTGCACAGTGGGGTCCTCTTTACCATGCCTTGCACCCTTGTCCTGGAAATAAGTCACACGGCATCTGGCTCTTTCCTGTCCCGCAGTCTAGGGAGCTGAGGTTGTGGGACAGGGTGGCAGGCAGGGAAGATTTGTTTTGGGGCAGCGGGAGAAGGACTTATGGCTGTGCTCCCTCAAGGAGGCCCATGACCCACAGTCCCCCCACCCCAGGGACGTTTTCTACCACAAGGGCAGAATATGTGTCACAAAAGGCACAAATTCCTCTTGACAGTGTGTCCTGGCGAATCCCACACGATCATAAACGTGAATCACTATGAGTCATTACGCCATGATAAAAGAGCAGCTGCCCTCCTTCCCCAGCTCGGCATTCGGAATGCCTGGTTAGGAAGGAGCTAGCATCAGAGTTCACCGTGAGCCTGGCGTTTCCCATCTGGCCTGGATTTATGGTGGCCAGTGACACCATCAGGAGTGGCTCAGGCTATAGGAGGTGCCTTCTGCCCCCTGCCCCAAGCCACCCCAGGTAAACATACAACATAAGAAAGATGGCAAGTCGCTCAAGCAAACGTGGCTGAAGAGGTAAGTCCCCTCAGCCCAAGGGCCCTCGTCCAGAAACTTGCAAACCTCTGTCTACTGCGCCCATCTGCCGTGGACAGGCACTTGGTCCAGCCTGAGTGGTAATTTTCCAAGCCACATTCTCACTTCATAATCCAATGTCTTAAGGAGTAAGTAATTGAAAGACCCCAAATTCTTACCCTCTTCAAAAATAGGAGGCACTCTTCCAAACGGGCCCTGAGCCAAAGGAAACCAGAATAGAAATGGCAAGTTACCAAGTTATCTAGACGGAAGAGAAGTGGACATTGTTCATGCCCAAGCATAGGAGACACAGCTATTGCTGCCCACAGAGGAAAATGTATAGTCTTAAAGATGTACATTTCAAAAAATGAAAGCAGGCCAGGCTTAGTGGTGCACCTCTATAATCCTAGCTACTTGGAAGGCCGAGATAGGATGGAGTTAGTGAGACCCCCAAAATAATCTGGATGTAGTGCACCTGTCATCTTAGCTATGAGGGAGGCATAAATAGGAGGATCTTGGCTCGAGGTTGGCCCTGCATAAAAATGTGACACCCCGCCTGAAAAATAACTGGTGGTGCGGTTCAAGCATAACTAGAAAGAAAGGAGGGAGGGAGGGAGAAAAGAAGAGCACTTGCCTAGCATGTTCAAGACCCCAGGTTCATCTCTAGCATCCAAGAAAAGAAGGGAAGGGGATGGAAGGGAGGAAGGGTGCACCATAAAATGGATAAATCCCGAAAAAACCGACTAAAGCAAAAGTTAAAAGCACAATAAGAAAGGAGTAAGGAGCCACACTAACCTCTCCTTATTAAGACCATTAACACCGATACCCACAATGCGTCGGTCGGGCACTAAACGAAAGAGGTGAATAGACGAGCCCCCCGCGGTGGGGTTTATTCTAGCAGGAGGAGAGAGGGACAAAAGCCCAGTAATGGTCTGGCTTCAGACAGCCAGAGTGGTTTAAGGGAGAGGTAGCCTTAGGTTGGGCAGTCAGGGATCCCTCTGGGGAGGCAACATGGAGTCAGTCATGGGGAGGTCTGAAAGGTTTGGAGAGAGGGTCAGGCTGTGAGAGAGCAAATGCAAAGGCCCTGCGATGGGACAGATCTGCAGAGGGGGAGAGGGAGAGAGCTGAAGGTCAGGGAGGGAAGGGGCAGAGGTGGGGAAGCACGGTCGTTGCCGCAGGCCTTGGGGCAGGGACTTGGTTCTGAGTGTGTTCTGTGGGGGAGGCGAGTTGGGCTGAGAGCAGCTGAGGGAAGGGACCTGATTTCCGCACTGGAAGAGCCCTCTGGCTGAAGGCTTCTGGTGGACATGGGGCTCTGCTGAGGGCATTGGAGTCAAGTCCCTCCTTCCAGGTGAGAGGTGAGGACATCGCAATGTTCACTTGGACCTCTTCAGGACAGAGGCCACCAGGGGTGCCATGACCTCACCAGGGCTGGTCTTCAGCCAGAGCCCAAGACCCTCAACAGGGGGACCACGGCACATGTGGTGTCACACAGGGTCTTGGGACCCGTCCCCGCCCATGGAGGCCTCTTATTCCTGTCATGGTCCCCATACCCTGTGCCCCTGAGGATCATACCCCTCCCAGGATCCAGTCCTGTAGGCAGCTCACTGTCACCAGAGCATCTGCTGCATCAGGAGAGCCACACTCAGCATCGCCCCTTGGGTGATGTCTCTTCTCCAGAAATGAGAGCGGAGAGGGGCTGCCCAGACCACAGAGATGCCAGCGGCCTGTGCCACTGTACACAAAGGGTCCCAAGTCTGGAAGGGTCAGAGCTGCAGAGGCCGAAAGGGTGGTAGCCGCCCTGAATGTGGACACTGCCACCCATGCAGGCACTGTGAATGGGGTTGAAGTAGCCTGCAAGAGTGGCAGAGGGTGACCACAATTGTCACTCAGCTTGGTCTCCCTGAGTCACCACCCAGCTGCTTGCTGGCAGGTTTCAGTTTCAATTTCCTGTCCCTACAGGGCCCTGGAGCCACCTTCTATGGCAAAAAGGCTCCAAGTATGTCACAGCTCAGTCGTCACTCAGGCCTGGCTCTCCCATTCACTCGATCACTGCTTGCTCACTCATTCACTCCTATTCTCTCTTCTTTTCTCTCTCTCTCTCTGCCCCCCCATTCTCTCTCTGTCTCCCACAATCACATATTCATTCACCAAACATCTCTGATAAGGCTCAGCAGGGGCAAAATCCAAGATCGAGATGAAGGTGGTACTGCCCACAAGTTGGGATGGCAGGTGAATTAGTGAGCACCCTATTTGGGCCCAGTTCAGAAATCTTTGAACATCCCAATAAGAGCTTGGTTTCTATCTTATAGGCAGTGGGGAGCCAAGGTAGGTTCTTGAGGAAGAGAGGGACGGTAACTGAGGTTCATTTATCTGGTTGCACATCCACCCATCCGTTAGCTATTTATTGCCCATCTACCGTGAGCCAGGCGCCCTGTATCCTGGCTCGCATCTCCATCAGTGGACAGGGCAGACGTGAAGCCCTGCCTTCTGGGGAGGAGGGGTGGATAGACAAGCACAGGTTGACCCGCAGGTGAGTCCACACGGTGCTGAGCGTTAATGGAGGAAATAAACAGCGTGGGGTTGGGATTGGCCAGGAGAGTGACAGGGAAGTGAGTGAGGAGGTGAGGGTCTGCTGGGGTTCATGAGAGACCAAGGC